GCCATTGAATCTCATTTAGTTCCTATTTAAGTGGGGAAAAAAAAAGAGTGAACCAGTTTGTCCAGATTTGTACAAAATTGATTCTCCAATGAGAAAAAAATCTGCAAAAACAGCATGCCCTGTGCTTTTTAGTTGTAGGTGAATAATTTGAAGAGAAATTGCCATTATAATGTGATATTTCTATATTTTAACTTACCGGATGGCAGTGGTGGCTGGTGGAGTTTTCTGCAGGAGGGGCTATAAATTCAAAATAGACGTATACCAAAATTCAATTAAACGTATACTAAGTTATCACACCAGTATATTTATATGAATGTCAACAACAAAAAGCATTATAAAAACACTTAAAAAAAAACAACAACATAATTTTATGTACAGGTTTACTTTTTGTACATAAATTTTGCCATTTTGAGACTTTATGAAGGCTAATTTGTGTTTTGCATGGTCCAATATTGTGTCACAAACCTAAAAATATAATGTACCAGTTTAATAATGGAGAAGCTATTAGTCAGCTTTATATTTTCTTAATATATAACAAATATTTTTTTTTCTGAGAATGTGTTTATTTAAGAGCAACTGTGCAAATTAAAAAACATCTAGAAAATGTACACTATCACATTATTTTCAATGTGAATCCCAGACTATTCATGCTTCTTTGCCTTTTCTAAAAAAGTGCTTTAAATTTGTCATACCTGCCTTAATCCATGCTGGGTCAGATCCTGAGGTTTGAAAAAGGGGGCAGGGAAAGCGGAATAAAGCGTTAGCTTTGCTGCATGGATTTAGCCAAGCCTTGTTGCTAAAGCTGGTCCTGGAAAAGGACAGAGTGTACCATCTCCATCTTTCTTTTGGACTGCTGAATAATATTGATGTTTAGCTGATCAGGTCCAAATGATTTCACCTTCAGCCTCTCCTAGTAAGTTTGCTTTAAAGGACTTCACTTCTGTGACTCGACCTGTCAGTCAGCTCTGCTACGACTGTGACATCAGTCCCTGTCAGCTCTGGGAGCAGGAGAGCTGCTCCCTGAGCTCTCCTATCCATTGTATTGCAGAAGAACTTCTGCAAATGTTCAACTTTTAGCAAGGGCAAATATTTCTGCACCTTAGGGTGGAAATACGTTACTAATCCGACAAAAAAGGAAACAGCTTTACTCGTCATAAAAGATCAAATATTTTTCTTGCACATCTAAAAATATATCAATATATTCTGAAATATTTTAATTTGGTAATTTAAGTTTAAGTCATTGGGTGGGTGGGGCCACGGCCTAGCGCCCTCTATTGGCCAGCCGTTACTGACCAATGGCATCAACTAAAGGTTGTTTAAGCCAGTTTATACTTTGGCAAAAAAAAAAAAAAAGACTATGTCTGTGAGCTGGCCTGGTGTCGCCTCAGGGTCCCACCAGTGCAGCTGGAGGTGGTGTTTTGATCGGGAAGTCTGGGTACCTCTGCGACCCATGCCCAGATAAAGTGGAAGAAAATGGATGGATGGATCGCAATACGTGATATAATTTACTTGTCTAAATAGGCTGAATCTATGTACAAATTTAAACAGTTATATGCCAACCTTAAAATGCTATTATTGCTCCAAATGTGCTATTTTTCTTAGAGTTAAATAATAATAAAGGTGGGCCAGCTCCTTTCCTATATCAGGTCGTATGAGCATGTACCAAAACTAAATCTTCATTAGCGTGGATAGCTATTGCATAAATACAGTAAAACAACAGCCTGGACTCACACCATTATCTAATGTTTTGCCTCAATTCACCATGACATTTTAAAAGCAAACCCAAGTAAATGGATGGAGTCACGCAGTTATAAAAGCAGCTGGTTATGGATGCTAGAGATGGTAAGTATGACAGGTAAGTTTAGGAACCCATTTTAGAGTTTTGCTACATACTGAATATTTTGCAGGAATAAGTTCCAGGAAAGTAAAGCTGCAAACCCATAAAGCATGAATGGAAAAAACAATGTTAATTTGACCAAAACTATCAGTATGTTGATTATGAAAGACTGCATGAATACAGCAGTATAGAGAACAAAATGGAGAGGAGGGAGTTTGTGTGGTTCTGCTAGACACAGAGAGATTTTAAATGTTTTCTGATCCCACCTATAAATTAAACATATAGATGATTCCTCTTATCTTTTATATTTTATGGTGTTTGCATTCCCAGTTTTAGTTAACTGCACCATTTTTTCACTGCCATGTGAACATAGCCGTGATTTCCATGCAGGCCAGAGATTACTTGTTTGGTCTTCCCTAGTTAAGCTTTCAGACCTGCTCCAGTACCTAAAAATGAGAGCTCTGAGGTGTTTAAAGAGAAATAAAGCTACAAAATACGTATTATAGCATTATTGTTGCTATATCATTGGTTGTATTAGAGGAATTGTAACAGATTGCCTGATGTAATTTGTAGAGCATACAGCCTAAAAGTGGTCAGATTACATTAGTCACGATTTACTCAAAATGATGCAGCAATCTTTTTTTTACACTACATGAAAAAATGAACGCTTTAAGCAGAATATCATATCTCAACACCCGGTTGTGACATGCAAAGGGCGTAAAGCTGAGCAACTGGCAAGGTCAAGAAGATCACTTGCAGAATTAAACCTTTATCCCTTCATTTAGAGCCCCTGCTGCTGCTTCAAAGTGGACTTTACACATTAATCAATAAAAGTTTAATTATTTAAATAGTAAATATTAATGGGATCATTCAATACAAGGACCTTAGGCTATGAAAATGTGTTTGAATATGAAAAAATAAAACAGGATATCGGTGTGCTAACATGGTGTTCTTGCATTGAAATGTAGATGTGATGTGTTTGTGTGAGAGAGTTCCCTCTGAAATGCACCAACTGAGATGTAGGTGTTTTATTCTTGGCATAAGGGTAAAACAAAAAAAGTTTTCTTTTTGTCACTATTTTCAAAACCACTAAAATATTATGCTTACTGTGAATATTGATCTCTGTCTGCCTGAAAAGAAACAGACTCATTTTCAACAGGAAAGGAATTAAATTAATTTCTTCACAGCAGGATTAGCTTTTATTCCAGTATGAGTTCTCTAAATCCTCTTCTCACCTTTGTAGGAAAAAGAATTACAGCATTACACTTTAGAAGATCTGTATAACAGTTCAGATTTTTTCAGTCTTATTAGATGGTAGATTTTCTAACATGTTTAAAAAAAAATAAAACACAAAAATGCCTAAAAAGTCTCTTAAATAATTATTAGACAATCACAAAGGAAGGTATTTTGGGGGGAATGATGATCTCAGTTCTTCCACACAAACACAAACACAGCAATTTATGCAAGTTATCTGTTTTAATAGATTTACAAATGATTAAATGAAATATGCATTAAATTCCCTCTTTTTTTACATTTATCACAGAGTTGTATATAGAAACACTAGAACAGCTTATTGGGTTTTTATTATCTTTTTCTTTGCATAGAATTCAGCTACATCAAATAAAAAGTAAGATACAGGCAGTTTAATCCTGAGTACTGACTGTATAAAAACATAATGTTCCATTCTTTAAATCCAACCCTGTAATTCTGATTAATCAACAAGTCTTAATGAGCATAAAGCATGGATAGACATCTGTATGAAATAGGGAAAAGCAAAATGACAGTGGTGGCGGGTTTCAGCCACTTTTGCATTTATAACAGCATCCCATTAAAAGCGCAATGATTTTTTCAAAAAAGGAACAGATACGGCAACTAAAAGCACCAACAGAACCAGACAGATAGGGATCTGATATAAGCAAGACTAATACATTTTAAACTGTTTTATTTTCTTTATATAGCCTTATAAAAGTTTTCAACATTTATGCATTTAATGTTAAATAAAAAACATGCAATTGTTTTATGATAAAGCGATGCAGAAGTGAAAGGCATGATTTAATAAAAAAATACATTTTACAAATAAAAATCTAAAAAGAATATTATGCATATGTCTTTGTCCTACCTTACTCAGATACCCCCCAAAAAGGTAATGGGAACCGTACCTTCACATTAATTAGAGAATAGAGTCCTTAAGAAAACTTAAAATGAACAAACAGAAGCAAAAAGAAAGCGGAACACAGCAGGGTTAAAGCTGTGAAGAAACTGAAAAGAGACTAGCTGGTAAATGTAATTAAGGTCCAAAACATCTGCCAGAGTTCTGTGTCATGGCCACCCACCAGAACAGTTCAGGAAAAGAAAGCATAATACAGAAAAAAAAATAGCAGGAGGCTCAAAGTGACTCTGGAGGAGTTGCAGAGATCTAGAGCTCTGGTGGGTGAATCTGTAACCATAACAACAATTAATTAAGGACTCAAATAAGGCCTTTGTGGAAGATTTACAAGAAGAAGGCCTTAACAACAACAAATAAAGGACACATCCAGTCAAGTTGGCAGTGTGGCACAATCTGTGTGGACAAGAAGGTCATGTAGTAAAAGGTGAGCCTTATAACAAACACTGGGCATCATCCTGAATTCAGCAGCCCTACTGTTCCAAGCTTTAGAGGATGATTTTGGTAGCAGGGCCATCGAGGCGGGATGGCGCCACAGCAATCATGGAAGAAAAGCTTCTTAAATCAGAAAAAGTCCCTGTAACTGTGGCCAAGAGTAAGTTTCCAACTGAACAAGTCAAAACATGCAGTTTTACAATGGCCCGGTCAAAATCAAGATCAAGAATATATAAAAAAAAAAAAATGAAAATAAATGTTAACAGACATTCTCTATTCAATCTGACTGAGTTTCTGTTTTGCAATGAAAAATTTAGCAAAGATCCACATCTAGACTAAGACATCTGACGGAAATACAGCAGAATAAAAAGAAAACGTGGGATTTCTAATTGCTGCAAAAGGTTATCCTACCAAGCATTTACTCAGGGGCCAAACACACATACAGCTTGAGCTTTTTTTATTCTTATCTGTAAAAATCTTAATATATCTTCCTTCATAAAATCTACGCTATTAATTGTCTCTTTTTTTTTATCAAATAAAAATCTCAATAAAATATACTGATATTTGTAAAGCGTTTAAAAGGGTGTTTGCACAGCAGCATAAATACGACAAGATTCAAAGTAGCATGAAATGAAAATGCCTTTCTCAGAAACAAATCTAATTTTAAACTCATTATATAAAAACAGTTAACATAATGGGGTGCGTGTTCCCTTTTTGCATTCTCATTCAAACACAATATTGTATTTGATACAATTTACATAGAAAAACCCCCAAAATATTTTTTATAAAGTACAACAGTCAAAATAAAAAGCATTAAAATACTATTTAAAACTTTATTTACATTACAGGCAGCTGGAATGGACAGACACGAGGCACTGTCTTCAGCTAGATAAGCATACTGGTGGAGGGCGAAGTTTGACTGCTGAACCTGAAGAACGTTTCGGCATGTTCTCCAGTGCAATGCATTATGGATCTCCATCTGGGGGAGGAGGCTGACACAGCTTGTACAACCTGATCAGAGAAACACAAACAGGACGTGACACACCATTAAGTACGACATGCAGCAGCGTAAGGCATTCAAACGCATGCAGGGACAGTAAGCAGTGATCTCAATGGTTTCGTAGCTGTGGGCCAAGCAGCTGCAGGGATTAAAGGGGCATCAGGACTCAAATCAAATAGTTGTGTCTTTTAAATCTCAAGGGAGACAAATTTTATAACACCACAGAAAGAGTCGATTTGAGAGGGAATCCTCAAATGACTTATGAAGAAAGACACAGCGAGTGCAGTAGTTTCTCCTCCATGGAAACGCATGTAAAACCCCACTCAGCCCGTTACTTAGCCACGTTCATAAATTCTGACTAAAAGGTTCAGAAGGGCTGCCCATCCCACAGAGGCTAGAGTGTTTGTTGTTGCTAAATGGCTGAGACAGTCCTTAACTGCTGGTGAGTGCACCCATCTCTGTCCTAATGTAAATAAAATTAACAGCTGGCAGCTTCAGGCATTTCAATACATTTAGCTGGATTTTTATTTGTCAAGGAGAATATAGAAAAGCTGAATTAGACTTAGTTTAAGCTTCTTTCCATCTGCAGTCCCTGGGTAAGTGTGCACAATAAACACTCCCAATATAAATGTAACATATATTTTAAAAAAACTAAGCATATATTTACAATACAAGACATATTTCCCCAAAAAAATGTCACTTGGCCTACTTTAATCAATACTAAAAACACTAATGGTACAATTGATTATTAACAATATATTTAGTTTTTCGTTTTTTTAGATGTTTAAGGACTTTTTGCAGATCTATAAAAAAATATTGACATACTAGGGCTGTAACTACTCATCATTTTGCAAATGAATTAATCTTTTGATAAATTTTCGACTAATTGGATAACAAAAGTTTCCTTAAAGATTATTTTTTACAGAATTTAAACCAATTGAAAATAAAACTTTTTCCATTAAAGAGTTATGGATAGAGCACAGTGATGGACGAGAAATTTTTAATCATATATACAAAATTAAGTTAAAAAAAAAGTTATTGATTCAGCCTTAATTTATATAATCTGGGAACTGAAGCCATTGTTGATAAATTTGAACGATAAGCCTGACAGTGAGAAAAGTAGATCATCTTAGTGGGGCAACAGTTTTTGTACAAATGGAACCTGAGGATATGTTTATTTATAAATACAAATACAATTCCCGCTTTTCTGCTTCTACACCTACCCAGACCTGTAATCTCTAATCTTATAGGTAAAAACAAAATCCTAGGTTTCATTAAGTGGTGCTTACCTTGGGACTGAGGATGGTGTTCGGTCTCTCACTCCCAGATTTTTGGCAGAGTTCTGAACTCTTGCTCCCTAAAAGACGAACATAGTTCATGTCATCGCAGTCAGGTGTAGATTGACCAGTAGTAGAAGTTACACAAGCAAACTAGAATTTAAAACCTTTACAACTAGAAAAAGAGCCCTCAGACTTAGACACAGCCTTGCATTATTTAGTAATGATGATTAATTATATATTTTTCTGTTATTTTTTTCTCTATTTCTAAATGCTGTAACTGCTTATAATTCATCTTTAGAAACAGGAGAAGATGAAAAGTTATACAGCTCTGTCTATTTTACCAGTTTTACTGCTAATCTCTCTACAGGTTCCTGTTTGCTTAGCTTGTTGAACAGCTTTTGGTTATAAAATCCGAAACACAACATGCACAAATTGTTAAAATGCCTTATGCTCACAGTGCAGCTTTTAATGGACACCACTTTGGGTAATGCACATTACTAGAGCCAGTTTTTCTTAAGTGAGATGCTCTTTTTTTCCCCCTGCTGAGACAGCTTACTTACAGGCGTACAATGACTGTCAGAGAACAGCAAGAAAAAGTATATAAATTCTAAGCTTAACAGCATGCTATGAATATTGTAGGATAGAAAGTAAATGTCATGCTGTGAATGAGGACACAGAGGATTTGAAGCGATTGCTACTGGCAGTGCAGTTCTTTTTTTTTTATGATCAAAGCAACGCAGTAAATGCAGAAAAAATGCTTTATTAGGATAAGAAAACAAGTGGTAAGGAATTTGAAAGATTAATTGGGCTGCTGAGTGTGCTGGTGTTTTGTAGAGCTTTATATTGCTCAGTCAGGAGCATGTGTTGTTGTTTTTCTTATAAGGTCCTTCTAGCTTTCTGGTCATGTACAGAGTCTGCAAATCTACTCCCTTCAGAGTTGGAGGTTGCAACTTTCAGTTTATGGTAGAGAGAACACTTGCACTTACAGATACTCTTTGTGTTTGTGCTGCACAAACGAGAGCAGAGAAACACACTCTCCAAGTCTTCCTTTAGGGAGGTCATCAGCATTCTAGCAGACTGAATATCTGGCCAAGAGTGCATTAGCTGACCTCTTGATTACAACTCTGCTGTCAGCCCAGAGTTCGGTCCAGACAACAGGATAGCATCAGCAATTATTCGATTCCTATCACTGCAATCCATTCTCAGGCCTCTAGACAGAGATGTCCCCTAAAGTCACTGAAGGGCGAGACCGGTTAAGATCAGTAAAGTTTTGTTTCTTTTACAGTAATTTAGATTCTACATGGTCTGAAACTAATTGATGGCATCATTCTTACTAACAAACACAAAATTATTTTTTTAGTATGTGGTAGAATTTGATTGTATGCAATATTTGGTTTGAGTCTAGCCGGCAAATTAACATTTAGTTAATTTAGTCCTTTTCAGAAGATTTCTGTCAAAGTGCTTAAAATATGGAAGTTTTCTCGGGTTCTAACATGCATAGAGAAAAGCACTGAGGCACTTTTATTTCTTTCAAATCACAGAGAGTAGCCCAATGGGGTGGAAAATAAAGGAGTGCCACCTGTCATTAAGGTGACAACATCTTTCAAAATACCCATTTCTCTAATGCATACAGTAGTGTGAAACTGAAATATTGATGCTGGCCATCTGATCAGCAAGCATCAGTTCTCTAACTCTATAAAGAGTAAAATGGAGTAATGGATTATAACGCGTGCAAATATTAACATTTCATTTATGTTTATCCAAAAGTAGGGGTTCACTTTGTAACCAGTGTGTTGTTGGTTTGAGCTAACCCAACCAGACTAACCCATGCCATGTGTTTTCAGTACAGAGCTCATTAGTCTAGGCAGGCTCAGACTCTCCAGTCTAAATTTGACCAGACCAATCACAGCTTGGTAAGGCGCGACTTTGGCAACCAAGTAGTCAAGCTGGCAACCGCAGTAGAACAATGTTTTAACCATTATATTCTGCATATCTGCTTCTTTCTGTTAGTTTTCTTTTATCTTCTTAAACCCCAGTCGGCAACAACAGATGGCTGCTCACACTGAGCCTGGTTCTGCTGGAGGTTTCTTCCTGTTTTCTTCTATACTGTCCCTGTACGGGCACCAAGTGGGAGGGATTGCTGATGAGCCAATGACAAAATGCTCATCCAGGAGGAGTGTGTCCTGCAAGTCAATGCCCATATGTTATCATCTGGTTTCCCTTCATGGAAACTGTTTACCAATCTGATTGCAAACACAGTATTTTGCAAGCTTGGCACAAAACTCCAAAAATGGGCTGGACAAAAGTATTGGCAGCCTAATACTTGGTAGCAGAAGCTTTATATAAAATACACTAACTGTGAAAATGGGATTCAGGTCAGGACTTATTTGCTGGTCACTTTAGAGGTATCCAGTGTGTTTTCTCTCAAACCATTTTGTAGTGCTGTTTGAAGTATGTTTTGGGTCATTGCACTGCCATGACTCCTGAGGGAGACCCAGCTTTCTCACACTGGGGCCTAAATTGTGCTGCCAAATGTGTTGGTAGTCTTCAGACTTCATAATGCCACACATACACAAGCAGCCAAGTGCCAGAGGCAGCAAAGAAACCCCAAAACATCAGAGAACCTCCGCCATGTTTAGAGAGAGTGTTCTTTTCTTTGAAGGCCTCGTTTTTTCTCCTCTAAAATCTATGTTGATGCCTTTTCCCAAAAAGCGGTACTTTTATCTCATCTGACCAGAAAACACTCTTCCGAAATATTTTTGGCTTTTACAGAAATGTTTTGACAAACTACAGTCTGTCTTTTTTATGTCTCTGGGTCAGAAGTTGGGTCCTCATGGGTATCCTGTCATAGTCCCTTTTCATTCAGACTCCAATGGATAGTAAGGGTTGACACTGTTGTACCCTCAGATTGCAGGACAGCTTGAACTTGTTTGGATGTTAGTCAAGGTTCTTTATCCACCATCCGCACAATGTGCCGTTGAAGTCTCTTGTCAATTTTTCTCTTCTGTCCATATCTAGGGAGGTTAGCCACAGTGTTATGTGCTTTAAATTTCTTGATGAAACTGTAGATACAGGAAAATTCAGACCTTTGGAGATGGACTTGTAGCCTTGAGATTGCACATGCTGCCTCACAATTTTGTTCCTCAAGTCCTCGGACAGTTCTTTGATCTTGTGGTACACACATGGACACAGCACTGAGGTTGAGTCATCTGTAATCCATTTTAACTGGCTGCAAGTGTAATTTAGGTATTGCCACCACCTGTTATGTGCCGCAGGTTAGTAAAAGTGTGCTGTTAATTACACAAATCAGACTAGCATCACATGATTTCCTCAAAGAGTGCCAATTATTTTTGTGTTTTGTCATTGCAAGCAAAATAAATGAGGATATCAATACCAAAGATTTGTAATTGCAGTCATTTTTTGTGAGAAATTTTGCATTTTCTGTCAATACCTTTGGCCAGCATAAGTACAGTGCATAATTCCTGAGCTACAGTGCTGTATGTACCCAGGCAGCCATCCCTGGTGCAATCTTGATTGAATTGAGTGGGAATTATGGTTACTCTTGTTTTTGTGTATTATAAGTGCAGATTACTTTGTGGATTTGCAGTGTGCATTTGTATATTGCAATTTATTTACACCCATGTCTCAGAAAAATACCTTTCTCACTTTTGTAACTGCTTTTGTTCAGTTGATTTGACCATTGTCATGTATTTTATTGCAAATCCATTTCTCTGTTTTATGGACCTGCACAGCCCTTTGGTTACTTTGGTGTGTAAAGCTTTTTATGAATGCACTTTGATAGCTTGATCGATAAAGTGATTCTTTTGCATCTTCTTAGGTGTTCAAATTTGAACATTCAGATGTAGAATTGGGGTTATTTGGATATCTTAGAAAACTACATATTTAACCTTAACTGACAGTTTGGCCATTATGGAACCAATGCACCCACAAGTCTCACACAGTAGATGTAAAACATTTATCTGACAGGATTCTTCTTGGGTGATGAGCAAATAACCTTTTGAGAGTCAGTGAGGAAGAAAATATGCCATTTAGCTATGCACTTACAGTAATCTTTTTCATCACCCAGTTTCTCAATAACTAGACTCCCAATACACCTGGGTGCAGGTGCGTATGTTTGGATATATATATATAT